TTACATATTTGTCATTGCGGCTCGTGTTTCGTTGTCGCTTGCCGCATGTATATAAATACAGTAAATGAGTAGCAATTCTTTGAAGGAACTGATTATATCTTCGATTTCATTTGCACCTCTGCGCTTGATAGTATTTCCTATTTTATCTTATTGTTAGACCACAGTTTAGTTTGATAATCGAAGTTTATTTTACATCTTTATCATTGAGCCTCGTGTTTCATCGTCATAGTGGGTCTGGGCAATCTGCCATATACGAAAATACAGCAAACGAGTATAGCAATTCTTTGAACTATTTAAGGCAAGACGACGATGCCGAAGGGTCGCCGAATACAATGGATTGCCCTGCAAAAGGAGTCACTTACATTCTTATTTTGTTAACTTTACGGTTTAGTTCAAGCCCTGTTACACGATGCAATTTTTTTGGAACTTGCAAGCAACTCTACTCTTGAGAAATGTAGAATGCCAAAGCACGTGTTTTGCGTTGATATTTTTCCAATCCATATGGCATATCTTCATTGACTTTACTGATTACAAGCAGAATTCCAAGTTGCAAGAAAAATTTCACCTTAACACGTCCTTTGTTAAATTAGTTGCGACGTGATCGTGTGACACATATTTCACAAATTTCAACGCAAAAATTTCACTTTTTTTTAACAATTGTACAGTTTTTCCAATCCTGTTCTTATATGATATTTGGTTAAATTTGTTTTTAATTCCCGCAGCAATCCCTACCTTGCAGGTAACCTAGTACTGAAAGACTAATCAGGTTAAGCTTTTGATGTGATGCGCTTTTTACCTCGTCAGCTGGGATAACTCGCTTCATGTAAACATGCCTCAAAACAGTCCGGAGATCTTAATTGAATATGCAAGGTTGCCAAATGGAAATTAATAAGTTCTATTGACAACATACTGAGAACGAATACGACTAGAATCGAACTTTTTAATTAAAAAGAAATGAAAAACGTCACTGGATCTCTCTCAACAGTAAACGACTATTTTGACAAATCCACTTTTGAAATCAATAAAATATTCCAATTAATCATGGATTTTCTATTTTCGTAGAAAACCAAATGTATTAATTTCCTGGTTAAGGAATCCTAAATCTTGTCTGTGCTGTAAAATAAAGAAAGATGACAAGAAGACAAGTCTTGCTTTCCGTTTTATCGTAGCAACTCATTCAACAAATCACTGACGAATCACAAAAATTGAGATGAAAATCTATAAAAAGCATTCATTTCGGCATTTATCCCAGTGGTGAATCTTGATCTTCTTACATGTAGATCGGCTGTTAATGTAAAGTACTTCTTAAAGATTATCGTATAATGTGAATGTGACTGCATGCATGTGATAACGTATCAGTCTTGAATCCCCTAGCCGGGATAACTCGCTCCATGTAAACAGGCCCTAAAACAAAAAACCCTTAAAGGGTATTGGCAATAAATTTTTTTATGCTTGCAATCAGGTAAATTTGACCTCCTGATTACGAATATGGTATTATTTTTTACCAAAACTGTTTAGTTCTCGAGTTATTTTATGGTAAACATTCAGTCCATCCGCCATCTTGGACAGATTTTCAAAAAAATTATCTTTTGGTAACTTGACACTTGTGACGTCAGGTGCAGGGTAGATCAAAACAACATATATATTTTATACGCGCATATAGCCATTTCGAACTTCTAGTGAAGTATTTAGCACTTTTCGATTTCAAAAATGGAAAGTATCCACGATAACCAAGTAGAAGAGGTATTACCCTATCAATTTGAACCCGAACCGGGCTTGAATGCAAACAATAGCAGCGAGGATAGCGACTCAGATGAGAGTCAATCATCAGACGAGGAAGTCGACCATGCGTTTGAGGTTGAAAATGCCTGGCGTCTTCACAGTCTCAGTTGGTGTAAATGTGGGCATTGCACGTTAAAACCAAAGGCCATAGAATCGTTTTGTTGCCATGAAAAAGCATTGGAGTACGAGGAGTATGATGCGCTCTTAACAGAGGCTGAAGCGCAAGGGGAAAGGTGCTTGACAACGCATAGCGACTTCAAAGCAAACATGCTGTCGGAAGGTGTCTTGAAAGTAGACGTTTGCCGCTATCTTGAGGACAACTGGCCTCTGGATGACGACGATTTGGGCAGAATGCACAAACTGTATAGACTTGTTGCATACCAACGATGTTCGCGTTGGGTATTTCAAATTTTGGGGAAAAAGAACAGAAGACCGCTTCCAGCGTGTGTTTACACGACCATTCGAGATCGATTTTCGTCTCATGATGGCGTCTACACTCATTTTAAATACGCAAAAAAGTCGAAACGGTAAGTTTTTTCCGGCAATCTGGCCAAGTAAACTAGAGTGTGCACATTCTGTGGCACAGCCAACAGTGTGCCTATTATAATGAAGCACGATTGAAATTTTAATTTAAAGTCAGTTTTATTATCACGTTTACATTAATTCGGTCGATTATTTACACCACATAAATATCATGTTTCTTACTCGCGATTTTTACACTTTTCCACTTTACAAGTACATTCGGTGTGACACATTTGATCTGTACCCCTGCAATCACATTTTCTGGTTGCACATTTTCCCTTACAAGCGCATGATACCTTTGCTGACTCACTCTCTGTACTTGCAGGTAAAGCTGGCTTGCTGAAGCGAGATTTGCGATTGGCCACCACTAGCTCCTTGGATGGACGTTCTTTCCCTTCAAGATACTGCTCAACAAGTGATTTTGGTTCAACAGGTAGAAATTTGATGGCATGGACCTTAGCATTCTTCAGTGTATTGTATTCACTTCTAAGTTGAACAGCTTCCTTTAAAATTAGATCCACATATGCTAAAAAATGGATTAGGAAATGTTATTTTTGTTAGCTTTACTGTAATTTATCTTAGTTTTTGGAATATAATCAAAACGAACAGAAGGGTTGTGTTGCTTAGTTTTCTACCCAATTATAAGAAAAAGTAGGTTTATATGTTGTTTCTGGTCAAAATCGTCTAAGAATGCGCTTAGACGCAGACTATTATAATATCTGTTCCCCTGCACTTGACGTCACAAATTTATTTTCGCATAAATTAGCATACGAGTCTTTTTTCAAGATGGCGGACGACTATCAAAAGTTTTCCAAAATATCTAAGGAACTAAACGCGATGGTCAAGTAAAAATAGGAAATTAAGTATTCCATAGATATGTTTAATTGATAGCAAGAATAAAAAAATTTATTGCCAATGTCCTTTAAAATAATAGACCGGAATCATTTGATCTTCATATGGACCTCACGGTAAAAGTATAGCACTTTATCAGTAATGGTTATCTTATAATAAAGTTCTTATTGTCATTATAATAATTTGTTGATAAATTTTTAAATGATAAAGCATATAGCTATGAAATATATATATCAAGAGCTTGTATAGAGAGCACCTTACTAGACATGGGAGGTCTCGTTCTTGCAGGCTACGTTCTTGGTATAAATGTTCAAAAGACCATGTTTTAATTTCGATCTGAACCTCTTCATGCTAATAAAATATATAAAAGGATTGAGACACGAATTTAGAAAGCTAAAAGACATTAGCCATCGCCAAGTTATACGTTTTGACGTCTTTGTAATTGTATGATCAAATGTCGTTACGATTCTGTAAACAGAATATGGCAAGAACGTGGCGTAAAATAGACAAACGATAGAAAACGTTGTATACGCACTCTTCCTGTAGTTCCAAATGAATAACGAGTTAGATGAGTCTGAATCTGGAGTTAGGAAGTTTGTTTGGAGCAATAAAACAGCTTTAACTTGCTTTTTCGCTGCCCTCAGGATGACAATATAAATTATGGACATTAAAAACATATGTCCGATAGATAAACACGATAAAAAAAACTCGTAATCGGCGTGAATATTCAGCAATACTTTCTTATAACTTAGATAATGTCCCGTGGAAAGTGTAAACGCTATGCTCCAAGATAAGGATACTCCAAACCAAACTACTTTTCCAGTAGCCAAAGAATGATATCTCAATGGACGAATAATGGCTACAAATCTGTCAACACTCATAAGGACGATGGCGTTTCCAGTGTTGAAAATACAGAAAACAAATAAGGAAGTGTAGTATTGGTAATCACGAGTTGCTCTTCGTATGTGCAAAAGGTACGTTCGCCAAGGCAAATATGTCGTCAGGGAAACAAGATCAGCCACAGCTAGGTTTAACGTGAGTTTATCCGACACACTCAAGTGCAGATGTCTCCTCCGTAGAAAGAATATGATCTCGAGTAAATTCGCAGCAGATCCAAAGATGATCTGAAGTGAATTGAAGGTAACAAGGAAGGCAGCTTCATTTGAACCAAGGATGGGCTTCTGATTTAGACGGGTGGAATTGTAAAACATTTTGAATGTTGGGAATGAACGTATCTTCACAGCACGTATAGTTCTTTCCGCACACGACACAAAGTGAGTTCGTGGGAGATGATCCGGGAGGTATATTATCATGTAATTTTAAATGAGATCTCACCCTCTTTGTAAATAATGTATAGAAATTAAAAGGGCTTTGCCGATGTTTTTAATGACGCATACTGGCGTACGTGTAGAGAGGCCGGAACATTTTATAAAAGGCGGCATTCTGTTCAATGTAAATATTTTCATTTGATGAACAACTGTACGGTGGAAATTCATACAGCATTGTTTGTGCAATAATAACATAATTCGTCTGGATGAGTTAAAACCTTTTTTAATTTAAATTTGTATGAAATGAAATGAAATATATTGGTTTTTATAATTTCATACGTAAGCAGGAAATGAGAACAGAAAATAAATGAGATATTCGACGCATTGGCAGAGATTGAATTTTCAATGCGACATTTATTTACACACTTAGAAACCAGATGAGGGGATGTAGTCCGCCTTTTGCATGATGGCGTAGGGAAACATTACGTCACCCAAAAATACGAAATGTGGTATTACTTTCCTTGAGCGCAGGCAACAGAAATACAAAATAACAGTGAAGAAAAATACACTAACATGGAACTTTGCACAACGAATATAATTTAGTAGTAGGATGCATTTTTATACAGATGTGCAGGTATAATAACAATATGCCGCAAACCGGAAGAATTATGCACGGCGTTTTTACATATCCACTTCTCAGCCAAGTGGCCGCACGATGGGGAAACGCCACAGCTATTTATTAGTGCTTTGACCATGCCTACTGGAGCAAATACATAATATCCCGTGTTTTAAAGATTTAACTGCTACATTCCGATATTTATACGCAAATCTCTTTACACCCAATTGCACAGCAATGTCTGTTACCACACTATACGATTACTGCTGACTGCAAAACTAAAATTTTAGATCGGGTTGTCGAATTCTTTCTTCCATATGTTCATTTTGCGCGTGTTTTTTCAACATCTTCATCACCTCATTTTCATACTTTTCAGGTGTTTCTTTAACCCCAGTCATCCAGTAGTAAATATCCCAATCGTTTGTCGGTTCATTTATCAGAGTGTCGTACTGATCTAATAACTTTTCATTAGACGTTGTCAGGAATCCTTCCGCGAATGTACTAAATTAAAATAAAACATCATGAAATATATTATTGGCTTCTTAGTAAACGAGAGCGAGGTCTTTATCGAAAAAAATCGGGCCAAGGTCTTTCTGTATAAACCGAGCCCTCTGCATAAAGGTGATGCTTTTACTAAAAGATTAAGGTCATATATTTCTAAGTAAAGGCATAAGGCATGCATTTGCACTTTAAATCAAACAAGAAATGCATGAATTTTTATCAGCAGCGAGTCACACACTTGATAAAAACAACAAAATAATTTTTTGCAAACATTTTAACCGGGCATCTCATTTATTACGACCGATATAAATAAAATTTTCTGCTAGACTTCTTCTGGTTTTCATGTCGTAATGCATCGAAATTTTCCGTGAAAGACCAATCACACAGATCCATTTTACTGGAAGTAATACTGGCTAAAAACTCTCCCGAGAAGTGAAGATGCAGAGGTAACTTCGTGCTGTATATTTTTTGTGCATCTTGACATTTACCACCTAGCTCTATAGAAGGCCATGGCGCGGGTTCACCTACTTTAACCGAATAGACCTTTCCCCTTTTAGCATTCAAGCGCGCAATGCGCGACGGTAGTTGATTATCAATCAACTTTGGGTTGCGATATCGTTCTGCTTTGAAGTGATTTTGTTTGTAAGAAAACTCTGCCGATTCTTTTTGCTTCTTTCTTAAACTGAATCTCTCCTGCATGAACACGGCGAAATCACAACTCAAATTGACCTTGATAATCAACTACCGTCAGCAATTGCGCCCTTAAAAGCTAAAAGGGGAAAGGTCCATTACTCGAAACAATTTTATCGTTGGCTACACAACCTTTACGAACAAAACAACTGAAGAACTGTTTGGTATTGAATCGCTAAAGCTATATAGTAGCTACTATAAATGGAATGAATTCGTGTTCAAAAAATCAGAGACATGGGAAACGTCAAGAAGTGCTTTCCGCCTATTCTATAAATGCGACATTTGATGCGAACTTGTGTGAAGACGCTGCCACACGCTGTGAAGACGCTGGTTTTATCGGAAGTTTTTATGAAGAAAGATTTGCGTTACCCTAACCAGCTTTTAAAAAACTGGCACCTGGACCACATTGGAGGGAGGAGTGAAGCGCTTGGCCAACCCCTTTGTTGAAATTAATTTTTGATCGAGAGGGGCAAGCTTGTTGCTTGGATTGTCAATTGTATGCGATTTAATCCGCTATAACAAGTAGCTATGTTTCGAATATGACTTTTCGATCATTTCTAATGTACTATTAAAAAGAGGCCATAATTGTAAAGTTTAACTTCATTCCTCACATCATTTTGATGAATTACCTTAACAACAAGCCATTTTCTAACATTCCTCTTTTCCTAAAAGAAAAAGGACAATGTTAATATTATAATTCCTATAGTTTACGAATCAACAAGACGCCCAGTAGGCGTTAACTCGGGCTTAATAAATACACTGCACTGAAACTGAGCTATATTGATACACGGTAAATACGCGACTGTCCGCGGTAAAGACTGAAGGCCGTGTTACACGGTGCAATTTTGCCTGCGACTTGCAATGCGATTCTTTTTTTGAGAGATGTAAATTTGGCAACTACCGAACTTTTGTCTTTATTATACTCCATGGCGTTTCTTACGCTTACATTTTGAAGACTATTCACTAATTTATATCTCTTAAAAGTAGAATTGCGTTGCTAGTTGGAAGAAAAATTGCACTGTGTAACATGGCCTTAGGCCTGTGACACACACAAAAATAATAATCACGAAACCTTAGGCTCGGCTACTACAGGTAGCCCAAGTAATTATTTTCATTAAATATGTAAATAAACATGAGTGATTTAGTGACTAAAGTACGCTAAACCTTTTCACTCAAACCATTTAACAATTAGACAACGAGTCCGAGTTGTCTATGAGCGAATAGTCAACGAAGGCGAGTTGTCTAATTGTTTTAGTATACACCCTGTACCTAGATATATTAATTTCGAGAAAATAATCGATACACCGCAATTACACCGAAAAATAATTTAATTAATTCAATTTTTACGGTCGCGCGAGCGAATTTTTCCCAAACGTTCACCATCACGAATAGAGAATGGTTGAGTAGCCAATCAGAATGTAGGATTTGTAATAGACAATAGTCGGGTGTATACTAATTTCTAATAGTATAAGTATAAACTGAATGGATATCACAAAGTATAAATATCCCAAATATAGTAAGTAATATAAGATTTGAGCCAGTCACTGCATGATTACAGTTTCCTCAATTATATTGTCAACTAAATAAAGGCCATATCAAGGTACTTTAGTCATAAGTATTAGTCACAAGGTCTTTGGCAAAGAATGAGAAGTTTTAAATTAAAACATTATAATCGGATCCAATTAGAATTTCTAATGAAAGAAAATATTATTAACAGCTACAGTGTATCACATGATGTTATCACAATAGCAAGGAAAAGCTAAACTAAAATATACTGGCAGCATTACTTGGTATCAGCTAGACTACATAGTACTTAGTGTCATCCAAATAAATCACTTTGTATATGATATTTAAGTGATGTGTATTCAGGTAATTGCACTGATGAAGGCCCGGGTTAACAGACCGAAAGCTTTGCAGTTATAAATAATTATGTGCTGTAACTATATACAAGCTAAATTTACTTATTGATGTCACCATGCAAACATAAAAGAATATTATTATTGAAGTAGTTTCTGTTTCAAATATCTCTTTCTCAAACCAAATTTATATCTTCAAATTATAGCTTTAATTAGATCATAGTTAACATCCTCAAATTTTTATATACTGGGTAGTCAATTTAACTGATTCTTTTTTATCATGAAGCATAATAAGACATGCTGCAGTTTATGTTTCAAAATGCACAAGAGTAGATGAGTTACCGTAACTAATTTGAACAATTATCATCAAAAACATTCAAGCAAATTAGCCTTTTTCCAATTGTGTTAATTCATTTTACATGAAACATTTGCATATTTTGAATTAAAGTAAATAGGGGCAAATAATTGATTCAACAATACAGTAAAAATGATTCCCACAAAAATATATCTATTCAATAATTGTTCAAAATTTTATTTGATGTTATATCTAAGACTAAATAATTAATAAGACTAAAGAAAATTTGAAGAGGTTGGGAAGAGTGATATGTGGCCAATCCTAAGTACCACTATCATTGAGGAATAAATTGCACATGCAGTATATGTATGTGTGTGTACGGAAAGTAAAAATCTGTAAATTGTAACTGGAAATAGAGTGATGATTACTGCTTGCATCTGAAATTCCACTAACTATGTATTAAGTTCAGATGTTACAAGACAAACAAGACAAAAAACACATCTTCAAAATGTTCAAGCATATTAGCTATGTATTCCCATTAGAAGAATATAAATTATTAATTGTTAATTTCATTAGAAATGATTTCAGTCCACACACTATAAATTTAGTGATTGAACACAACAAATTTAGGCAGGTTAGCAGTGAGAGCAATGACCTGCACAAAATCTTGTTGTCTTTCATGAATGAATTTGTCAATTACATGAAGTTATCTACTGTAAGAATTTGATAAGGGGGCAAAATAATCAATATCATAAAACACAAGATATATGCAGTCAGTATATAATTTCTGTTAACAAATTGTTGATAGACTACATTTTGAACTGCTGTATTACTTGAAATATTTCTGCCTAAAGATCTAAAATAATATTAGTTACAAAACATGAGAATGCTTGTAATTTTTCAAATAAATTATAGCCTGGACCCACAACATATGACAAACATAAGACACAGTAACCCTTTATATTAATTAAACAATATGCTGACTTAGTGTTAACTGTGGGGAGTGTTAACTGGGGGAACTTGTGCTACTTACAATATATATTTTTTTTCTGATATAAATTTTCACCAGAGAAAACTCTATAAGCACATAGTATGAAATGGTAAGATGTGAGGTTACCGACCTAATGAAGCACTAGTGACATCATGTAGTAAAGAGCTTGATAGGACCAACCAAGCAAAATCAAATTACGGTCGACTCCTTGTTTACCGACAGCTGTTAAGGCGTTAAATATGAAAGAAACACATTGCAATGGGCTATTTTATGGGAGAGTAGTACTTTTACCTTTTGGCCTGAAGCATTTGCAATACTGCATCTCTGTTTATTAGTATATAGCTATATTATTTTATATGGACTGAGTGTACAAGACAAAGCTAATATAATGCCAAATGATTTAATGCACATGTGATGACAAATAATGGTCTGTGGTGCAGACTAATAGCTCAAACAGCTTCACTCATTGCTATCAAGCATTTGCTATGATCAATTTATGCGAGGAAGAGCTAGTATGCGGTTTCTAGAGACTTACATATTTACAATCATCTGCTATGGCCTATGTGGACACATTTTGACTGGACTAAGGATGCATGAATACTTGGAAATAAAAAAATCTTGTCAATACTCAATACCATATTGAAAAGAAGGATTTTTAGGAAAGGAGAGTGCGTAAAAAATATTCCGGACGAGGGTAACTTAGAGAGATCAAGAAGAAAGAAGAACTATCTAACAACTATTATCTAACAACTATTGTTACCTGCTTTGATAGAGCAATCTTGCTTTCTTAACATCAGTTGTTTCACCTTGTCTTTTCTGATATGGCGGTATTGGTGGACCCATATCAGGTCTGTCAATAATGTTATCTGAATACCGACTAACTGTTGGCAAAAACTTCAAATGAACAGCAAAGAATTGCCTTGAAAGCCTCCTCAATAATATCGCCATATTTAATAACTTGTGCTTCCACTATAGACAATTTTTCCTATGATTTTTCCCAGAATTCTGATATTTTTTCAGATTCGTATTAGAAATTGGTGCTTGCAGAGTCAGGCAGACCGTGTGGGCAGACAGGATCAATTACAGTGTGTAGAGCTGCCCTGTTCTTTGAAAATAGTGTTTATTTTTCTTCTAAGATGAGTTTAGGCAGTTCTATACAGCATTTACTGTTAGGAGTTGGATTGGGCAGGCATAATTATATAATATTGCTCCTTAATGCCCTTAACTTACTTTATGCTAACAAGCTACCCTCACTCCTCTTCCATATAATTGACTTGCTGCCAGCAGACTACTGTACTGCTGACTACTTACTCCACTGGAGTGATGTTTCAATGTTTCTAATCAGTCAAAATACAGTACAGTGCAAGTTTTATGTACCCAGTAAAATTGTCACTTAGTAAAATTCACGGTATTGCAAGACATGCTAGATAGAAAGAGTTGTAGCGGTCTTGCACTTAGTACAGCCGCCATTTGGATTAGCGGCCTCACTTGATGCGAAAATGGCCCTTTTTATTCTTCCCTTTCAACACTGACATTGTCAATGGGGGAGGTGGGAGGAATAATTAATTACCCGAATTCCCTCTGCGCTCATTCCGTGCCCCCCCGACCATGTTCTCCCACTTTGCCACTCTCTGATCTTATTGTACAATGAAGTTGTCTGTTTGAGTTACTCGGTAACATAATAATGTTAATATTATTCATGTAGTGCATAGTTTCTTCTGGGCTTCATTATAACCGTTGAGTAAAAAATACCCATTGGGGGATTCCTAAAAATACAAAATGGTCACCATACGTTCATGGCATGCTTTTCGCTTTTAATTGAGTTTTTTTAACGGTCATTCAGAACTAAAATCTACCAATGGAATATTGTTTTGGAGGGTATTTGTTTTTATGTCGTATTTCAACTGGCATGGTTTTTAGTTAGTTCGAAATTTGACACATTGATGGATCTGATTTCCTCAAAAGTATTCCCGCTGCATGCCCTGAAATGCGCTATCAAGCATACTCTAGTAAGTAGCATAACTATCCAATTACGTTTTACCGATGAACCCGAAGCGTATCTCTCTCGCACTTTCCTCTGCACGGTACGACCCAGAGCATAGTTACGTATGTGGTTACGCAATAATAGAAGATGAATAAAGTCCCAATTACATTACACCAGCCAAAATATTAGTTGAAAGCTTGTACATTGTGACGATTTCAATTTGTGACTTGGCTAGATCGATAAGATACTGTACTTCAAGAGTTTTAATGCGTCGCACAAAAAGAGTTAGATTTTGAACTATATAATTATGCACAGACAAGATGGCGTCGGACCTACATATTTTTTCGCAAATATCTCAAGAGGTTAAGAAATTGCTTTGTAGTTTGTATCTGCATGACTTCGATTCTCATTCACGTCAGGGAAAGATGATTGTATTGTCGTTACGACTTGAGCGAAAATTCTCACAAGAAAACAATTGTCTCAATTCCCTCCCATTGACGTCAAAGGTGAGACTGGGCTCCCCAGTATCGATCCAACTCAGACAGTTGGCCTCTCTCGTTGATAATTAATGCTTTGCATGCAATAGTGTAATAACGACCCATCACTATAGATATATACATAAACATTGGGCGGATATATCATATATAGCTCTCAGCTTTCGTAAGAATGCAAAACTGAACTGCATTGTAGTATTGAACTGCATTCAAAATGTTGAGCTCCTTTCTTTTCAAAAATTGTATCCCGCGTTATTAATGAATTTTAGGTCTGATTACTATATGCTAAGGACTCACAAACTTACAATTAAAAGCCTGAATTTTTTGGACGCCCTGTATACAGTTTACTTTGGTATAAGTCACGTTTTTTAATTTTCCTCCTATGTAAATCCCAGCCGATTGAAATTCCAGCACTTACGTAAATGCTTGATTTTAAGGAGATATTGGAGGCTTTAGATATGACTATGGCTCTCATCACAGCCACGACGTTCGTCATTTCGACGTTGCATTCGTGATATATTCGCCATACACTTGTGGCTGCCGCCAAGTCTGATTCAATACGGATTGATTTTGAGAAAATTTCGTCGTTGTCGCTAAAATACAATATATGCATTGATATTTCTTTGAATTGTTTTTTTCTTGAGAGAACTGTTTTGAATTTCGCTCATGCACGTGGCTTAGATTATTTTTTCTGAGATGGTAAACGTAGATATTTCTGAAAAATACTTCGCTCGGATACCGTGTCCATCCCTACCGATCGACAGCGGGTAAAATTATAGTGTAAGATTGTGGAGTTGCAGGCATGTAGATTGTGAGTTAGTTGAATCGCCTAAGGATCCGTTAGACCGTTAATGCATTTAAAATTCCCGGCTCGTAAAGAAACGTGTAAGAGAAAACAGCCATTAGTATTCACTCCCCCGACCAGCCTTAAGTATATTAACTGCATTGGTACGTATAGCACCCCAACCTCGTTTAGCCAAGCAACGTGATAATAAACTTAAAAATATGTCATCAGGCTATTTTAATGATTGCATGTTTTGGTTTCAAGTGCTATATATGACCCGGATTTCAGAGCTATACTGGAGATCTATATGACGTCAACGAGGATGGTGACAACAACTGACGGTTAGAGTAAATTGAGTAGCTACTTGAATTCTGTGGAATTTCTGGAGGTCGTCCCAGTAGGTTGTCCTCGATGTTTACAATACCCTACGGTGGCCCGCCGTAAGGGACAGCAGTTCTTTTCTATAAACATGCATACAGCGACACGTAATAATATTAACACGTTTCGCCTATCCACAGTGTTTCCTCTCTAGAAATGTTATTGCTCCGTAGAATTCTTATTGCTCCTTAGAAATGTTATTGCTCCTTGGAAATGTACATGACGTCTGCTTCGTAGAAATGTGACTGCTCCTAAGAAATATGACGTTCGCTCTGTAAAAATGCGACAGCCGTTCTTTCGCAAATCACTTATATAAAACACATGGCTACCTTGAATTGCAAAATTAGTTGAGAGAATGATAAAAATCTGCCTAAAAGAGCAGTGTTACGAGCAAAATGTAAAATTTGAAGTTCACATTCAGCAGAAATACTGACAACAGAAATTCATGTAAACAAATTAATTCATCATTGTATTGAATATATCCAGACTATATATGATAATTTTAAAAGCATGCGTGCATGCTGTTCAGACTAAGAGAATGAATTAAAGTTTTCTGCCGAGGCCGATTTAGGTTTTCTGCCGAGGACAGTTTCTCAACTGTTCCCAGCCTGAATATGAGATGCATATGAAGATTTCCACTCGAAATCAGTCCTATTATTAAGGCCCCATTTACATTTGAAATTTTAGCTGCGATATTATGTGCGATTTTCTTCTTTTGATAGATGCCGGAACGAGTAATAATTATAAGTTTCATCTTTGATTTTAAAGAAATTTATCCTATATACATCAAGTGAAGCCCACAAACTGATTGAAATTTGATAAAAATAGTTATATATAGTTGCCTAGATTAATAGTTTCCTGGCCTAAACCACAGAGAAACAAAGTCAGCTTTATGATATATACTTGAAAGGAGGTGCGTCCGGAATTTACGCAGTGTGTGCCGGAACGAGCCTCGAATTTTCCCGAAGAATACCATGGAAGGCATTGCGAGCTTAGTGAGCTGTGAGTAAGTCCCCGCACAAAAAATCTGCAAGTATATGTTTAGTTTTTATATAATATCTCATGTCATGGCAAGGCTGTCAAGTATAAAGTTAGGCATTGTGGAATTGGTATCAATAATTCTTCTTAAAGAAACTGGCAAACCGCTTAGTCGCATGCAAAACTGAATGTAAACAGATTAACATACTTAGCCTTCGATTAATAATAAAGCTGTTTAATAAACTCCCTCATTTTTGAATGAGGAAAGGCAGGCATTCCGTGGAAACATTGCTATTTTTTATGGATTTTACAGATGAGTTTGGACAGGCAGGTGAGCTCGAAAAAATCCTACCATGCATGCAAAAAGCCTACCTGCTCGGAACGAGAAAGCCGCTTTTACACAAGGACAAGGTTATAGAAGGCTAGAATATACTAATCAATGTTCTCCATACGCTTTTTGCAAACTTTCTACAATGATATTGTTTATTTTTGTTGAAATTGAACTTGACTTTCGCCTCCTTTGTCACTATAGCACCGTTTTAAATAATAAGCATGAAAGGTGCCAACAGAATACATAGTTTTGTTCACCAAAATAAATAAACTAAACTATGCTTAGAGGTTTGCCCTCAGTTTTTGCTCTCGACGTATGCTGCCCACAACCTTAACTTTCGCGTATATAGATAAACATATTTCACATATATTTGCGCACAAATATAGCGAAAATGACCCCTAAAAAAGGAACTTAATGGTCGCGTAATGTATCAACCGTACGAATTATCTGGTAACATCGATCTAAACTGATATAGAAATTAAATTTAAATCAAAATAACCGTTGCGATATCTCCGGTTAGAGTTTTCTGATAATTTAGTTTAATAAGGTTCAGATAATAGATAAGATAAAGTAAATTTAATAAAGTGCATTTCAGCTCGGACACCGTTAAAGAGTCAACGTCTAAACGAATGAATTCTATGCGACTTGAGACGATAACTTGGTCGCCAACTTTAAAGCCAATTGAGTCCGAATTGTATTGTTTTTTTTTCTTCACGGTTGACGATCGCGCTGAAAAAACAATAGAATGGAGCTAGCACCATGGTGGCTGGTTCCCAACTCAGCTTCAAATTGACTTCATAGTTGATGGCCAAGTAAATAACCCTCTGTATAACTCGGTTATCGATAGTTAACCTCTTTATCGTTTCAGTCTTTATAGAGTTCACTATAGCTGGCGTCAACATGCTTCGCTATTACGTCTCTATAACGCTTTTACGTTGTACATATTGCAACGTTGATCGGCTACATATTTATATTAGGTGTTGATAGAAGCCAGGACCAAGCGAATAATCACCGTATCAGTTGGCGAAGCAGAATGATAATTGGTCAACAAGCTGACTATACGAAATACGACCACGGTACAAGATTTGTCATTATCGCGTGTTGTTTGCTTAAGACAAAACTGGTAGATGTCCAGCTTTTGAGCAAGAGTTTGCTAAACGACTACGAGTTTCGTCATATGGCGTAAGCATGCAGACGCACCGATTTTGGCGCATCTTGCATTCGTTGAACCAATCTTGCATTCGTTGTATTACTTGTATAGTCGCGTACTCGTGGTCACTTTGCGATAAATTCGCGGATCGTGAGTCGTGGAGTGACATGTACGACATTTGAGAACACGACAGCCTGGAACAGCATGCAGCTGCTGTGCTTGTGCCGGCCATAATTATCCTATTTCCTTGGAATAATTGGATTTTTTCTTTATTTCATACAAACTATTTCCTACTTTCCCGGTATTATTTGGTGTTGGCAATTGCTGAAAATCGAAATTAATTGGCAGCTAGGATTCGGCAAGCTCGTCACATGTTACCTGCCGGGCGGCTCTGTTTTTATACACAAACTCCGTTTCAAATTCGATCGATTGTGATTCAAGAATACATTGAGATACTGGCTGGGAAATTATATTGCAAAGATGAATTACGTGATAATACAATATATGCGTGGCGTCAACTGCAATTAATTTGCATCATTTGCCGAAAGGGCTGCATCTTATTTAGCAAATATTTGATCAATTTCACTTTTTTTTTCGCAAACCGACGGGCCAAGCCGCGTGGGAGAACCTTCAAAGAACTTTCCGTCGTAGCGCTAATACAGTGCTTTAACTATAAAACCTCAATGGATATAGTATTCATCATCACGGTTCTGATGAAACCATTGTACGGGGAATTAAGTTATGCCTTGCCGTTATATATATATATAGAAACCAAATATGTGAATTCAGTATAGGCTTGGTTTAAATGCGTTGTATATGAATTTGGTGTATGCACTTTGTTATATATGCATCAATAAACTGACAGTGAAATATTGACATCAACCCATATGAGGCCATGTCAGGCTTGAGCCGAGAAATAAGATCATCGCGGATGCGAATTGCCAACTAATTCCGTCCCGACTTTTCCATTTTCAGTTAGTGTCATCGCGGCAAAAAATGTATTCCGAAATGCAGCTGGCAAATTCGCTAGGCATGTGCTCACATTCTGGCCCAAATTTTCTCAGTCAGATAGCGCGGCAGTCGACTGAGTCTTCTCGGACATGGTAGTGCATGACCGAACGGCTATAGTGAGTATTATTGAATGTGACTCAGTTTTGTTTCATATTAGTCAAAACCAGAGTAAAAAATTGAGACTGTTTTCATGATAATCTGCTCCGGCGGGCCTTGACAAAGTGACACTCTCAAAAACAATGCGCGATTCGCCCACGCCAAATAAGGAGCGAATGTGATTGGAAAACCGCGATCCTTTCGCACGAGATTCGTCTTCTGTCGTATGAAATGCCGATGCCGACGGAACCTTTTCGCGAACGGATTGAATTGTTTTCGACAAATCGCAAAAGCTCCTCATTATTCTCGAAATGTACTGCAAGATTGAATTTTTTTTAACTGATGTCTCGTACGTAAGCAACTTTTTCCCTACCGCGATGACGGATTTCCCAGTTACTTTCCGGTGGATTATTTCAATATTCACACAGCCGGATTTTCAGATGCGTTTTAAACCAAATTTGAGTCATTATGACGGCAGATTTTGAAATTTGCTTTTGTGACTATGGTACCACTCAGTAATAAAGGAAGTCAAATGAATTGAAACAAAATGAAGAATTCAATTCCCCATCATGTATATTTTTCAGACATATATAGGTTCCAGTTCTTGTCCAATTTGCAACGGACACGGTTTCAGTCACATCAAGTATACAATCATACTGTATTCGGCACCGTAACCGCGAATTACAACTTTAAATTCGGTGGACCGTCAACTATCCTAACCTAAAGGTTCTAACGATGACTTTAACCTGGGATGCGAGAGAGGGGAAAGCAATAACTCCAGTTGAAAGATCGCCTTATACTTGTAAACAGATAGTGAATATACGGGTATGTACCATCAAATGCGCGGTATATACATGCAGTCTCACTTACTCGAATATCCCGGTTAATGAATTTGTCAGTTTAAAACCAAATTAGAAAAATAGTCTGCAAGATTTAAGAAGACGATCCCTTGGTCGATGAATGTGCTCGACCGACCCCCAAACCCCACCTCTTAGCCTTAATTTGGAACGTTTTGACGTTAGTTCACTTGATTTATAAGACGCGTTTTCGTTGGTCGGTGACGTCTCGTCGGCGTTTCCACATTTATTTCTCGCTAGTTCTAGGAAACAAACGCGTCCACAGGACGTCAACGCTCTTCCCACGATACACGACCCCTGTCAAAAACTAAACTGGACTCATAAAGTGCTTTTGTTATGCCCTTAGTGGATCTACGTGCTTATTTGCCAATAATTTAACCAAATGACGTCAGTACGCGTAAGCACCCGGCTATACAGTCTTCGCATAATTGTGGCTAATATCATTAGGTTCAGTTCTATCGTAAAAGCATGTAAACATTTGGGTAGAGGACGCTCGATTCAGTTCCCGATATGGAGCCCTTTCGCTCTTAAGTCTTAACGTTATTCATCGAACAAGTATTATACACACTGGCGGAAGAGATCTTACCGAATCATACTGCAACCCCATCGTTCAACGTTTCTTCTATATCAAACATATCTATAGCTATCAAGATACGTCGCTTTAGAATATTCGTGAATTCTGGCTGAATATGATCAATGCACATTGCCAGCAAAGTCCAGTTGTTTACTGCAACGAGAAGAAGTTATATCAATTCAGAATCTTCGAGTTCAAATCAGGTATATGTCTATTTATCTCGTAAAGAACGCCTTCAAACACGATATTATTCAGATTATAGCGCGAATGTATGGACAAAAAACGCACGCTGTGTTAAACTTGTATATATTTGAACGATTTAGACAAACGTCTGAGTTTCAGCTTTTCAAATCTGAAGAGAATGAGCTGTTAAGATTGCTACTATTATATTATAAGTATTTTAGCGGCGGGTAATGAAGCTTTCGTTCACTTATGTATAGATTAAGACTTGAGTTAACTATAAGACTGAGCGGCCGAATGTCTGTCAGTAGATTATTCTACCGTCAATGTCTTTAGATATTTAATATATATTAGCTATGTTCGAATAAAGAGCGAAGATCGAGTGCCTGAACGTCCGTGTATCAAATGTCAGTTATGTATACAACAATCTTCTTATTATAAGAAACTACATACTATATAGTACTGCATATATATACATACATAATATACATTTATTGTGTAGCAGTATGCGGACTTAGGAGTTAAGAACGGAGTGTAATATTCCCACAAAGACAGTGCATTTGTGCCTTTACATAATTGAGCTTACTTGAGTGCATGCCCTCGATAATCAAATGACGTATTCCCATTATGATTGCCTGAAAATATTTTCATTGGGAATACGAAGGACTGTAATTGTATTTAAAACAATGTTTTCGAGTTTGAAATGATTATAGTACATGCATGTACAGAATGAATGACTTGGCATCGAATTCCAACTGACGCAGATGGGAAACAAAATACTACGGTAGATATTGTCGTCTATCGATTAAATGACGCATGCCTTTAGTTCTATTCATAACAAACAACCTTTCAACGTTCGTTGACCTCTAATAGGCATCTAGTCTACGCACGGTTATAAATTCCGCTCGCTCGAACTGATTATCTGACAATGAGATCGAAGTCGCATGCATAAGATAATTAAGCGTCTATTTTGTCATCAAAATATGTAAGTCCTGTCTGGAATCATCGTATAAGTCGTATTTAGCCAGCCGTTAAATCTTGAGCGAATATCATAGCATTTATAACCATTGCGTATATGTATATATATTAGTCAAATTAAAAATATATATACAGGCAATGGTATGTTGAACTATGTGGAATGTTGGATAACTTTGCCGGTTTTCGAAATGACGTAAATGAAGCGGGTTAAACAAATAAAACAAGATTCCTCTGTGCAAAAAAGCATTTGAATATATGCATGGATATCTTGCAATTATTATTTCCATTTACCATACATATATATACTTCGTCAGATCGGAAAATATAAACTCCATGCAGATTGCAAAATTGGATTTGATAGATGCAAGGTTTAAAGCGTTGAAAAAAGCCTCCACTAAAAAACAAGCTTTTTAAACTTAAACTGTCTCTATCGTCTCCACGATAAAAAGCATTTGAAAATATGGATAGCAATCTCGAAGCATTGCCAAGCATTTATGATAATTTTTTGTCAGATTGCAAATGAAAAAGAACACATTGCAAATTCGGTATAGTCTTGCATGATTATAACATCACTAGAGGAAGGCTTCCGCTGAAAACAATGCATTGCTTTTCTCTACCATCTCAATAGGATAAACGTGCAGCATCTAAACTGCATGAGGGCTACGATCCGCGGGCATAATGCAGCTGTTTATGGACTTAAATTCTACACAATGTGTGCTCACGTAGATAAATAATCGACATATCTGACCGTACAATCTGTCGCACTCGAAAAGTTGGTCTACATAATGGATTATTAGCATTTGAACTGCGCCACTGCATAAATAAACACCCATCTGGAGTCCAATAACGGCTTTTAATAACTGAATATATTATTTATATGATATCACGTCGCGTTTTAGCCTTTTGTCAAGTTTTAATGAATTTTACCTTTTACTGAAGTGACAAATGTGTCTTGGGAAAAATTTGTTTCTTATTATTTATTTCATTAATTCCGAAAGCAAAGTGGCAAATTTACTTTCACACTTTCAGCATGCTATAACATCTGCCCTTGCATATGATTATATTATTATATATTTCAGGGCGAAATATAGTTATGTATAAAATTTTAATGTGAACAAAAAAATCATGTTACAAACAAATCATATTTTTTCCCCGGAAAAACCATACTGCATATACAGAGGGCCTTTAATCTTCGAGGAGAGCTTCCTCGGTCAAAATTATGTGATACCGGTTGCTCTTGATATTTTTTTTTGATAATAAATTTAATACATCGGAAAGCAGCTATAATATCATCCAAAATTCTGATCAAATGGCTCGGCATGCTATCTATACATGTATAAAGATTTGATAGTCTGAATATAAATCATATTATTAGTGGCCCACAATCTATTTTTACTCTTGAACAGGGTCCTCTATATAATTTATGTTTCAAACCTTCCTCGACTATACAGCAAAATTTCGTCCGCATGGTACCTGGATGTCCGCAGCTTTTCTGCATCTCTGCCGAAAACGAACCATAATAATTTATATCAGTTCATGTTATTTGATTAAAGAACAAAAAGATTCAACAGTATGCATGGAAATGAAAAGATTTGTCTAAATGATTTTGTCTGTAGCGGAAGCAGATAATTCCTATAATCAGGAGTACGATGATAAACAAATAATTAGCGCAGGATGAGTAGAGTACAGTTTTGGTTCCCTAAATCCGCTTAATCCTGAACTCCCCCACAGTAATGCCAAGTCAAAAGGGTTTCAATATAGAATTTAATACTGTTCCGTGTAAATAAGCGCAAAATGAATATAGTTTGTTGTATAATCCCAAAAGTATAGTCCGGATGTCCAACCACGTCTAGGCTGAGATAGGATCTTTTTAATATAGGCAAATCAATCATACAAAATTACATGGGTTCTGAATATGTAAAATGCTTCCTCAAATTTTTAAAATAATGATTTTCACTTGAATTATACACAAAGTTGAAAATATTCTTGAAAGCAAAAATATTTTCTCCAAACGTTTTTTTTACATGAATGTTATTTATACAGCTGTTCATATGTATGTATAGCTACGAAATGCTTGTTGCATGTTTTAATACAGTTCAAATTTCCATCCGAGTAAACTCGAAACTCCCTTAAGGTAATGTTACACGGAACAATTTTCAACATCATCTCGCAACGCAATAATGTTGCGAGAAAAATTGACGCGTGTAACATGGTGCTTGTGGACAATTTTCAACAGCAAAATTGTTGCGGAACAATGTTGAAAGTTTATGAACGGACGTCAAATCCATGCAACATTGTTGCTCGGAATTTTGTTTAATTTACCCAGAGACCTTTGTTTGAGCTTTGAAAGTGGCGGGAAATATAAACAAAATGGCGGAAAGCGAAGAGAGTCAAGATACAACAAATATTTGCGATCATGTTTCACCTCAGAAATCTGCTGCTGGCGGGCTTTTCGATAGTGATAAATTACGTTTAATAATGTTTTTTAATAATAATCCCACATTATGGGATAACAAGCCTGGGAAAGATGGGAAAAAAGAAAAAGAGGAAGCTACAACTCGTTTAGTTGAAACATTTGAGTACAAGTATACAGCGACCGAACTATTCGCAATGTGGAAGAGCCTGAGATCGTCATTTTTAAGGCAACAATGTTGCATGAAAATTTTCCTCGTTTGACATGTGCTAATTTCTTCGCAACATTATTGCGTTGCGAGATGATGTTGAAAATTGTTCCGTGTAACATTACCTTTACTATGCATTCATGCACATGGATTCAAATCAGTTGACAATGATCGCATATGTAGCAACTATTTAGGGTTTGAAGACATTTTGAACAACAGGTTATAACTTATGCATGTACGGTATATTGCATGTCGGTGCATGTCGGAAAAGTGATTTTGCCTTTAACAATATTTTGAGCAATCCATGTAGCTTAATTCAATGAAAATATCGTTAAAAAATTTGGGGTAGCATTTTACTTCGATGATATTTAAAACTTGTGTAATTAATGAAGTATAAAGTAAATGATGCTGTGTGCTTTGCATGAACTTATGATGAACCTATGGTGAAGCTGCATGAATTAACCTATGATATTTCCTCTCATAGCAATAATGTCGGAATATAGTTATATGCAACAATTCCCATATACGATGACAGCCATTGTTGTGAATACGTACTGCTGTGTCTAAATTTTAAGTCCACCTTCCCTACTCTCTGTTAGGAAGAGCCAATTAATTGCATTATGTTATAGCTAAATATCCTTTAATTTTTTTTCGATATAATAGCAGAATATGTATTCAACCATTTTTGAGATACTGGGTCTCTTTATAAACTCTTCATTATCGCAATTTGCGAATGATGTGAACAACGCAGGCGTTAGAATATATCTGTAGTGTAAAATCGTTTTTGCCCTATTGCGACGGAGTATTTCGTTGATTTTTTACTGGAATAGTTTTATTAACATATTAGTATGCGTAAACATCACAAAAACTTTAAACACACGCTCTTTAAGTGGAAATCATTTAAGGAATCGGCGTTTTGCAAGCAGAAAATGAATTTAAAAATGGTATTTTGTATTATTTTATAACTCCGTCTAGACAATATCACCTCAATTTTCACCCCTTTTGAATTTCTGTCAATTTTTTTAGTACTAACCTTCAGAGGCTCGTCGTCATAATACTATTTTGTGTTTCCGTCACATGCATTATCGTATCTTTCAGACATTTATTAATTAGGTGTTCTGAAATCCTTGTCAACACATCGTGTGTCAGTCTGGGAATTGAGTCGATTCACGTAAGAACATTTCCAGGAATGCGTCAGAATATTCATCCGGAATATTCATTCATTAGTCACTAGAGATTAGAGTCTATTAATAGAGAAGATAATTTATATAGAATGGGCAGTCTTACGTCATTGTCATTCGTGTGACGTGTTTATTAGCGTGTGTTCTAGTGATAAGAACAGATTTTTCAACTCGCGTGGTATGAATTTTATTTTCGTTTTTAAATTTGCTGCTGGCTATGTTGCATATGGGAGTACTAATTTAAGTCAACGACAATAAACCCGCCATAATATTTATAATACCTGAAATGATGTATCCTATAATTAGAATACCTAGATTAATAGATTATTATAGATTTTATGGTTATATCTGTCTGATTCATCTGAAATAATATCTGAAATCTCTGATTTCAGTATATAAATTAGGTTGAAATGATTAGTTTAGTACGTATAGCTATAGCGAGATTACCCTAAAAGTGCACGAACGCTCTTCGCCAAATATTTGCATGGATGGACAATTGTTTAAAATTAATTAAATTTTCTTATCTTGAAATTTCTACTACTATTGAGACACACCATTTCTATCATTGAGATATAGTATTTCTTTTATTGAGAGACACATGCACTATTTTGCGATACAACATGATGACGTATAACGACTATTACCGTCAAACGTAAAATTAATATGTAGCGAATGCTAAAGTGCTCGGATGTGCTCCGAAGTGCAGCGATCGATAAAATCAAACAAAGAAATGAAGGAAAGCAATGTTACTTTGCAATTAATATATAAACTTCAAAATATATTAAGAAACATGTAATACTGTACAAAAGTGTTACCTTATAACCTCTAAAGATCACAACTTTGTGGAAATTATGTTGATAATTTTTGTATCCCATGAAGTCAGGAAAGTTATGATGAATACCGGGTGTGACCCAATACTAGAGAGCTTTAGCAGGGACTACGATCGTGTACGACTATACGAGTACGAGATTCGTCATTCTCGCGCGTTGTTTGCTTACGCCATCAGCCAAAACTAATAGTCGCTAAGCTTTTGAGTTCGAAATTTTCCAAAAAAACTCGTACTCGGAAGCTCGGCGTCTACGAGTTTTGGCTGATGGCGTATGCAAACAACGCGCGAGAATGAGTGACGAGTCTCGTACTCGTGTACTGTACTGGTATATCCTGCAAGTACATTTAATTGCAAAAACACCTTGTTTTATTTTTCCGATCCTGTTTTTGAGCCAGTCAATTTGCTTCATTCGCGATCCGGGTTTTCCGATCCGGACCGCGCTCAACCAGACCGCTAACGGTTTTCTACCGTAAATGAAAAATGTGGCGTTGTAAAGCCATAGGTAGCCCAGAAATCTGTTTGTACTCAGCCTTCGACTACATTGTTTACCCGCGCGGTCAGCTTTTACTGTCTGTACTAATTACTGTATTATATATTGATAAGGTTGGCAACTTAATTTCCAAGCCAGCACGTACCTTCGGAGAAATAGTAAAAAAAACTTTGGAACTACACAGGCTTTTTTCATTGGCTTTTTAGAAGTTCGTAAATTGTGAAAGCCAATGAAATAATGAATTCGTGATTCAAACCAAAAACCGGTATCAGGCAATTTGCATCCCGCATAGTCACAGCGAGAAATTCAGCAAATTTGTAAAAAAATTACCAATTTTTCGACACTTCCAGTGTCGTTTTCCACGACAAAAAAATGGCTAGTAGTTTAGTTAAGGTATCTTAATTTACCTCTATGTAATTTTTTGTGTCCTTTCCTGTGTAGTTCCAAAGTTTTTTTACTATTTCTCCCAAGGTACGTGTTTGCTTGAAAATTAAGTTGCCAACCTTATCAAAATATAAAACAGTAATTAGTACAGACAGTAAAAGCTGACCGCGCGCGTAAACAATGCAGTCGAAAGCTGAGTACAAACAGATTTCTGGGCTACCTATGGTAAAGCGTGCGAATTTGCACGTAATTTGCCGGCTTTGCTCGGTCTAGATGAGGAAAAGACAGACCTCGGTTATGAAATGGTTCTCGGTCTTCGGCCGCAAACCACTTTATGTCCTCTTTCCAGTTTTTCCTTAACTGGTAAATAACATATACTCATCTTCCCTTAATGTGATTTTGTCGCTCATGGATTTTGAATGCTGCAAAATGCTTATACCAAGTCGATATTATAGACTATGATATATAGAGGTTGGAAGGGTCTTAATTTCGAGTGGAATTACACACACTTCAAATTCAAGCCAGAAACAGTTGATGGAAAAATGAGTCAACTATTGGTCCTCCGGCAGGAATCGAACCTACGCTTTTGCAATGCTGGTGCAATGCTCCTGCCACTGAGCTACAAGGTAGCTGACAAGAGCGAGCGTGGTTAATGTGTATATGATGGTAACGCCGGGATAGGCGAGGGTAAATCAATTATGATACCATCCTATACACATTAACCACGTTTGCTCTTGTCAGCTACCTCTGTAGCCCAGTGGTAAGAGCATTGCACCGGCATCGCCCATCAACTTTTCCTGGCTTGAATTTGAAGTATGCAAATTCTAATCGAAACTAAGACTCTTTCAACCTCCAGATTTCATATTTCGTTTACCCAGACTAGGACTATGTTTTATATTAATCGACTAATTGATTTTAGAGCCATTTTGCGAAGAAAGAAATAGTGCATTATTGTCAAGATCCTGTGACAATGTCACTCAGAAGCTTAAACAAGCTGAAAGGTTAGTCCAGCAATATTTAAAACGTAATATATCGCGGTTATATTACACGCCATATAGGCAACCTGCTTTCACTGGAAATCATATTATATACATGAACATATGATACATGCATGCACACCTCCAAAGCCCCCAATCCCCGCTACATATGGACTGCATTTCCGAGCTGTCATTGCCAACGTGATTTTAACTGTTTTTTTTCAATTCCATTCCCCAATTCATGATCAAAATTTCATTCATTTGAAAAAAGTTCTTTGAAGCGGTGTGCCATGAAAGTGATGGCTTTTAAGAATAAAAACGAAGAATACTTGTAATATGCAATGATATATAATTTCACTGAAGATTATGTTTCATGATAAGTTTGACTGCATGATTCAAGTCCGAAGTAATTTAGATAGTATGAATTTTTAAATGAAACATTCTTGAGCCAGTGAACTGTAAAACCTGCAACGTTAACTTGGCTGCCATCCTTGAAGCTAGTTTTTCTGAGTTTTTGAACGTTTGAGACAGAAGTAAAGAGTAATTATCTAGGAATGTCTAGAACTGTGTAAAATACAATCATTTGCTAATTTTTATAAGAATTGAACGAGAAACAGAGTCAAAACAGAGTCAAAACTAAGTTTTTTACTTCAAGTTTTAGTTTCTATCAACTATTACGCTGAACTTTAGGTGTTAGCGTTCCAGTTGATCTTACATGCAGTTCAATGTTTTGAGCCAGTACACCTGATTTTTGTATATTTCAAATGTCTCTAAATTTTTCATTTTACTTTGAAAAAAGTTTTTACACTTACATTTCATTTACCCACCCTTGTTTAATTTTCCAGAAACAAACGGTTGTCCGACTCGTTTCCATTTCAATACTGGACGCGTATGTCAAACCAACGTAGCCAGCTATTTAGTCGAACCAAGTCTTTACCAGTTGACTTGAGTGAATGCGGGCGGGACTACTTATGTCGTGACCATTCACGTGATGATCACATGCTACTTACGAACAAATACATATATACACGTGATCACATGAAGAGAAGGACTAATGGCTTTCATAATAACCATAAGGAAAATCACACCTCATGTGGAATGTTAAAGTTAGTAGAAGACAATAAAGGAGAGTTGAGGGCGGAGAGTAACTCACAAGGTGGAAATGATTTACCTTTATCTCATGCGGTACCACACGACACTAATGGAGATATCATGCATAATGATGACTTACTTGAGAGACAATGTGCGAAGGTGAGTATTCTTTACATACGAGATGAGGACTGAGAAGATGAAAAAGACAAATTTGCTTGGCAAACAAATTACCATCATATCATTTCTGTGACTTAATTTCTCGTAATTATCCGAGAATGTTACATTATTTTAGCGAGCTAGACCTCAAACCCGTCAGTAAAATATTTTTAGGTGAATTTATAAGAGGCCAGTAACTTAATTCATATAGAGGACAATTCTATGTCCTATCACAGAAGGAACAGTTGTCGCAATGAACAGTTGTAACGTAGCCAAAGAGCCCCATTTATTCGATGAGTCAGTTCTTCCCTGTGCATGCGTGTGCAATTGAAGAAACACTCGTGCAGACATCATAGTTAAAATTTTCGACAGTATCATATCGAAATGTCCAGAAACGTTTCATATCATATGGGATCTCATGTTCATTCGTCAGAAAAACATGCGATCAAATGAGTACAAAAATATAATTGTATATGCTACAATTAAAAAAATTCTGAAGATTTTTTGCATGAAAAGAACGTGATGAACTAAAAAATTGAGCAAATTTCCAAAAAGGCTGAAAATCTTTCTCTGTTTCTAGATGAATTCAAATCTGAATCAGTTGTCAAATCGGTACCAAAAGGAACAGCTTGAAGCGAAATCGGTATGGATAATACTATGACTATACGTATAAGAATGTGACTCCAACCTGAGTCACACTCACACAGTCTTATAATTAAAATAATAATATAATTTCTGACAGGGGTACATTGCAAAAATTTTAACAAGAGGGGATCTCTCTACCTTGTTATAGCCTGAAGATAGTATAGCTGGGTAGAATAAATTTAAAAAAACCTAATTAAAAAGGACTAACAATTTCTTTGAGAATGCAAGGTTCTTCTCAGTGAATCATATACATTTTTGCATTCTCAATCGCGATGTATTCCTCAATCTGAATCTGTATTTTATCTTACAGCAAATTTTGTTAAAAATAGAACTTAAACGGTCACGATCCAAGAATTAGTTCTTAATGTTGTGCCTTTCTCACTTGCCGCAAGCTTTCTCCCTATGAAAAATAGTTTCATTTAAAACTTCGTCCTCTTTGATTGATGTAGAAAGAAGAGCTCATTTCTATCGTCCTGGAGTTACAAGATGCTTTAAACCTTGTTACTGACGGGTAACGTTGCGATCATGTGGTGTTAAAGTCGTAGGAATAGAACAGGCCAAATGAAGATCGACGGAGTGCTTTAATGAAAAGTCGCTTCTTCGTCCATGTCATCATATAGCGAAGGTCATATTTAAAATCCTATGGAACTTTCGATGTTGCTTAATATTTAAACAATATTGCAACTGAGGATGATGTATTTTTTTGCTAAAATTATTGAATAACAGCATTATAAGAGTTGCCCCCAGAGGAAACTACAAAGCTCCTATTATTATCTAAACTTTCATGTCACGACGCCTGGAAATTACTTGTTTCTTTTGGTTTAAGCGGAAGACATGGGTATAGGACAGACTTCAGTAGCTACAGACTAGCTTCAATGCAACAACCTGCTGGTACATAACGTGTTACTACGAAGAAACAGCATTACGGTTAATTATTAGACGTGAAATTATTTAGTTAAGGTATTGCCGTGCTGAATATCGTGACTTGAGAAAATAATTTGATTACCTAGACGCAGCTATAAGGATATACTATACACTTAATTTATGCTCCTGAGGGAAAAATGAGTTTTGTTTTTCCAAGAGTCTGAATGTTTCCCGAGACGAAGTCGAGGAAGACATTGAGAACCGAGAGAAAACAAAACTCACTATTTCCCGAAGGAGTGTAAATTAAGTGCTTTGTTATATAGGAACCAAATCAAACATGTTACACAACAATTTCATTTCAACAATAACACTTTATGACAATATGCGGGCAACAACTTTTCATTTCTTTCTCTGGCAGGAAACATTGCATTTATTTAAAGTCATGTGACTAGGAATGAACTAATCACATTTAAAAAACACAGCGCCTATATAACAAATATATATACCGCGTGAATACCTAAAAAATGAATATAGAGTATAAAATTATAGAGAAAATTATTCGGCATTTGTGAAAATACATTGCCAACCTGAAAGCAAAAATTGAATATAGTACGTAGATGTCCTTCTTCCACTACAGGCGAATTTGTGTGGCTCGCGGTTCGAAAATTAAAATCCCGCAATGCAAGGGATTTGCCGGCAAAAAATTAAATTAAATTTTGTACGAACAAATTCATCAAGTGGAAGACGATTTCAGTGAATTTACAGTAGATGATTGTGTTGTAAAAATTTATCGCAATTCTGTATAAAAAAATTAATAATTGTAGTTATAGAGATGTGAATATACGTAGGCATAACCTTCGAATTTTTATAACAAGCTATAAAATTAAAGAGATGAATATTATTCAAAATGTAAAAAAATAAATTGTCGATTCAGATTATATAATTTTGAACACGTGAACCGTCATTCCAAAATTTTCCCTTTTTTCGATAGATAATGCAAAGTTATTAAAAACTACCTGCGTACTTCTTTGAGAAACTGTACAATGGAATATTTAATGAGTTTTTCAATGTGATGCATGACACGAGAAAAACAAAACTGTAAACCAGCGTATATTTACTCGAAACTCGAGCGAAGCGTGCGTTATGGTACGTTGGGGCACGTGACACATTAGGGAGATTTAGCATGAAGACGTGAACGTCAAAGACGATGTGAAAATGGCGAGTAAATTGCGTGGCATGTCCATATTTGGGCGCATCACGCCATTTATTCGCCATTTTCACATCGTCTTTGACGTTCACTTCCTCATGCTAAATTGCCCTATTGCCTCCTCTATGGTGGCCCAGAGCTGCCATAGGTGATTTTACTTTTTAACACAATTTTAAAAAATATAATTTATTTAAAAAAAAATTGTTTTAAAATTAAAACAAATTGAAAACATTTTCAAACAAAACTAAAACAGGAAAAAAAATAAAAGCCAATCAATTTAAATACTTGACTGGCCCACAGCTGCCATAAGATTTTTTTTTAAAAAAAAATCAAAAATTGGCCCACAGATGCCATAAGATTTTTTTTTAAAAAAAATCAAAAATTGGCCCACAGCTGCCATAGACCAGCATGCGCTGTGCAGGGATTAACACATTTATAAACAAAATTACACCAAGTACGAACGAGACAAACAGGCAATATGGCGGCCAGAATACGGAACGATAATTGGAAAGACGATGAAACATTGAAGGAAGATCTTGAAAAATATGCTCGAAGTAATCTTACACGAAAGGAGATATTGGATTTCATGAACCGTGACCATGGCGAATACGCATGGAGTTTGAGGACGCTCGATCGACGTTTGGCTTTTTTTGATATTCGACGCATAGACAAAAACGTTACAGTTGAAGAGATAAGAGCAGCAGTAGAGAACGAAGTTAACGGTCCTGGTAAACTCTTGGGGTACAGAGCGATGTACAACAAAATAAGACAGGATTATAATTTAAAGGTTCCACGCAATTTAGTGCATGCAGTCATGTTTGATGTTGACCCCGATGGCCTTGAAGCGCGTAACCCAAATGCACGATGGGAGAGAAGACCTAAAGGCAACTACACGACAAAAGGTACAAATTTTGTTCACTCCATGGATGGCCACGACAAATTAATGGGGTATCAGAATAGTACTTTCCCCCTAGCCATTTACGGTGCAATTGATACTGCGAGTAGAAAAATCCTATGGTTACGAATTTGGGATAGTAACTCCGACCCAAAGAGAATTGGACGGTGGTATTTAGAGTACCTTTATGAGAAGAAAAGGATTGCCACCATGATAAGGATTGATAAGGGCACAGAGACTGGAATAATGGCAACTATTCACTCGTTCCTTAGACAGCACCATGGTGACATGGCCCCTTATGATACAGTGCTTTATGGGCCTTCCACATCAAACCAGGTAATGTTTCTTTATATTTGAACAAAATATCCAAAGCCCTGGTCAAAGGAAATGCTGACAACAAGTGAGACATGTAAATGAGAATGTTTTATAACACACAGTTGCATTATGGAAGCAGTTTAACCTCTTTGAAAAATTCATCAATTTCCACATAAAATATTGTTTGTTTAACTTCTTATCTAGGACTCTTTACATAACAATAATATTTTACACCTAATGTAGATTGAGCGATGGTGGAAGGAACTGCATGAACGTATGGAGAAATATTTCAAGGTGCAACTGTCAATGTTGAAGAATGATGGTGACTATGATCCAGATAATGAGCTTCACAGGTAGGTAGTGACAACAACCTAGCTAATATATGCTAAGGAAAAAGTCCTCAAAATAACTTCCTTTTTGGTTTCAGAAAACTGCTGTCATTTATTTTAATCCCTGTTGTGCAACGTGAACTTGATGATTTCAAAAAAAGTGTGGAATAGTCATAGAATCCGACACCAGAAAGACACCTTGCTACCTGATGGGATCCCTGATCACATCCATGCTTTTCCACAAGAGTATGGGCTAGAAGAATGTGGTAAATATTAATCATATTATTTCCAACTACAAATTATTTTCATTATATATGATTGTACCTTTTCAATAATACCATTGATCAATGGTTCAGATATCCATAACATGAATTTATATTTTGATGCAGGTTTTCATGTAACAGAGGACCAATTAGCTGAAGTGGCTCAACATTCTGGAGTATTAGATCTCGAAAATGATTTCCTCTCACCAGAAATGCGACAGCAGTGTGAGACAATCATACCATATCCAGAGAAAATTGAATCATCAGATTGTGCAAAAGCATTCTTATATCTGAAAAGACGTTACTCTGAAGAGAGTTAATTAACACATCTGATGTGACATAAACAAAGAATAAAATCTAAAATTTGTTAAGGGCAAGGATCAGAGACAAGATGAATTATACAAACCACAAGTTTATTTTAGTTAAAGTGAAATATTCTGTTTTTAACATTAAATCAACTGAACAAACTCAGCATATGTAAACAATTTTTGACCTAATTATATATAGAAAACCCCACAAGTTTAACTATCAATTCAAGTTAATTATCCATCCTCTACAATATATAACTTCTTATTTGTGAACTAGCTTTTTCTGAGACATAACTTTTTCTGAGATTTTTCTTTTTTTGAGATTTTTCTTTAAGCATTCTGTATTAGAACATTATTAAAACATTTTGTTTAAATGCATATTACATAGTGGGGTATTCTATAGTTATTCCACTTTCTTTGAACAAAATATGAATATAGCTTTCACCCAGAAAACTATTTACACAACTGCTGATATTCTTAGTACAAAAGTTTAAAATATTGTCAGGTCTTAACTATAACAGCAACCAAGATAAGTTAAAAAGATTTGTTCAACTGTAGTGTTCAAGACGTGTTTAAAGTTCTGTTAGACCAGCAGATTTACAGTACTTATTACAACTATGATCATTCACAAAGTTTGTAATTGCAATCTTTGATAAGTTACCACTGCAAAATAGCATCTCACAATCCTGATCAAATAGATCAGATGTTGCTATTTCTGGATCATAAAGGGTGTGGTCAGATCCTTGTATGTCGAGAATAATTAATTTCCTGTCAGACTTCTGATAGGAAAAATGAGCCAGGCAGCCTGCTTTTTGGCTAACATCAGACTCCTCAACACATGAAATGCCATCATTGTTTATGTACTTCATAAAGTCTCCACTGACATATTCTTCAACACTGACATACTGGTTGTCATCTGTTACACCAAAAAACCTTATTGTACTTAAGAGGAGTTTTATACACACTTGATTCCATTGTTTTCTCAAGCTGAATGGCAAAATTTCGTGCCAGCATGTGCATTTGAACTGTTTTCTTAGTGTGGGACTCCAAGCTCTGGTTAGCTTCTTCAATATCTTTCTCTGCTTTAGGTAGGTAGTATTTGACAACCCACTTAGAGTAGACAAATTGGGGGTGGGTGGTTGTTGCTTTACGTGCCTCACGGAATGCCCCAATTCCTAGTGGCTCTTCTTCAACAACAAATTCAACAGTAGTGGGAACTACGTTCCAAGCCATTAATTCAATGTTAAAGGAATGTAATGTGATCACAGTTGTGCTTTTCTTGTCAAGAACTTTGCCCATCTTTAACATTTCTAATACTGAAAGACTTTTAGGAAAACACTGGCTTTTGACAGGCGATGGATTCTTTTTAAGCTGTGCATATGACATTGATTTTGCTGCATCTTTAGCGACGCGTACTTTTCCTCGGTTGATTGACCTCGGCAGGTTGGGTATCTTGTATGTCATTGTATACTTCCTCTTCATCGCATTTGATGAAGCGAACATGGACGAGCTTGGAGACATTCGGCACTTGGTCCATTGTTTTGCAAGAAGGCCCTTGCTCGCCTGCCAGGACGTCACAGCGAAGATCCCCTGATATATTGAAATGTTTTTCACACGCTAACTTGATGTTATCCAGGCTCATGTCTTCTTCGGGATCAAAGGGCACAAATTCACGTGGTCCAATTCTACTAAACTTTTGAGCTTTACCAGAAACCTCTGCGCTTAGTCTCTGGACAATCAGCTCGGATTTCTTTAATCGTTTAGTATCTTTCGTCGTTTTGTTTTGCCGTTTTCGCTTCATTTCATCTTTAAATGCATGCCATGCGTTGTCCTTAGCAGCCATTTTGGCCAGTGAATGTGTTATAATTTTGGTGTAATTTTGTTTATAAATGTGTTAATCCCTGCGCAGCGCATGCTGGTCTATGGCAGCTGTGGGCCAATTTTTGATT